CCTCCTCCTCCTCCTCCTCCCCCACCCGCCTCCTTCCCCTCAGATGGTGCTGTCCTCGTTCAAACACGGGCTGCTCAGCGGCTGGTGGCTAGGGCAGGTCAATGTGGTGCGCTGGGAGGGTGTGTTTCGCTGTCTCCCCATCTGTGGGATGGCCTTCGCCTGTCAGTCGTAAGTACTCCTCACGCCCCTCCACTCGCACAGGATCACGCAATCAAAGCAATGTCAAACAAGACTCTTAGTTGGAGGCTCATTGACGTAGAATAGGGAGAATCTGACAGAAGTCTGATGAACATGTGCTGGGTAAATCCCGGCTTTTCCACGCAGTTGACACGGTGAATTAAATCTTTCATTGCTGCATGTAGATGCTGAGCACATGTCACAATTAGTGCATGTATGCTTACCGCATTGCTTGAAGCCACGGCGGAGGGTTTGGGAAGAGAAACACAGATTTGCGGTGGAGATGGGACGGTGATAAGGCGTCCGTTGTTGCAAAGGAAAGCTTCACATTTTGCTGATGTGCTTCTCATAGTTGGCTCTTTCATTTCTGCTCCACTGTCAAGTCTGACCTCTTGAAAAAATAACCACATGCTTAAACTTATTTTAGTTCACACTACTCCTATTATTTATTTGTGAGATATTAAGAATAAAATACAGTTTAGCCGCTAGGAAAAACAGATGTTTGTATGGAATAAAGTGGCTGCATTATAGTCACAAAAGAGTCCATGTCCCCTGACTCTCCAAAATTCGTCCCATGTAATAAAATGTGATATTTATGATGTGGTTTATTGGGTTTTTTATGTCTTTATATGACATACTCAATGAGCTTTTAAAGTTGCCCCTAGGGGATAAATAAAGTTATTTGAGTTGAATTGAATTGAAGCTAAAGTTAGAATTTCCTACAAAAAAAAAATAATAATATCACCAATTCAACATTGACAAATGATTAAGCGACTTAAAGCTCCATCCAGTTAAAATCTATTTTTTCCTTACCTTGTTACCATGTCCATATTGTGTTTTGATATGCTAGAAGACACATCATTAGTGAAATAAGCAGTCCACACTGTTGTTAAAGATTGTTGCCTTGAAGCTGCAGCGTCTCCAAAGTATAGATCCAGACTTCATATGTAACAAGCCTAAGGCACCTAAAGCTGAACATGTCCAGATTGTAAAATACTGGAGCATATTTAGCAGTTACAAGAAGCTTTATGTGAGCTATAAAGAGTAAATTATACATTTCTTATCATGTATACATCTCTTTATTTCGACCAGTTAATTTATGGGATGTTCATCAGAACAGAAAACTATGGATCAGAGTTTAGGTTACTGTAGCATTTTTCTTTCAGGGTCAATTGCTTACGGCTGAATTTCTCCAATATCGCAACTTGGCTTTGTGCGGTGCAGAGTAGCTTCTTAGTGTTTCAGCAGAGTTGTAGGTGAGCTGAGCTGCTTGAGATGCCGTGAGTGTGGCGGGTTGGAGAGAGAGGGATGCAGGGACTCCGTAGATCTGCACATCCTGAGGGGAGGAACATAGAATAGTTACGTCTAAGTCATTTTAAGGTAGCAAGGGATTGTTTTTCATTTTTTAAAAAAAATCTAGACGTGTAACTTTGACAAGCAAAGATGAGTTTTTAGGGGTTGAATTCATTCTAATGCAGGGCTATAATCAGTCAAAGAAAAACTAAAACTGGTCAACTAACATGGATTTACTCATTGGCCACTGCGTTGGCTTCAGTAGACTAAGTGCACTGTACCTACTAGCCCTATAAATTAATTGTAAATAGACATAAAAAGCTAGTATTTGCAGCATAATAAAACATTCTAAGCTGTATATCTTGTACCCAAATAACAACAGACTTGTAGCAGACCAGTGTGCACTCCCATCATCATATAAATTCTTTGAGCCCAGCACCAGAACTGTTGAGGTATATGACAAACTAGCCTTCAGTTTTCAGGTGATCTGCCACGTTAGGTTGTTGAGCTGTGATATACAAACTGGTGTTTACGCTTGAGTTTAGGCAGCTTCTTTGACAAGGTGCCATTTAGCCGTTCAGTGAGTTACACCTACAAGTCTCCATCGGTGAGTTTAAAGTTGTTCACAGGTCGTGTAGTGTGAGCCTGTTGATGTTCTCCTTATGAAAGTAACGCTGTCGATTGTTTAATCAAGGAGAATTAGGTGTGATGGGAACAAATCAACCTGGAGACAACACTTTAGAAACATCAAACTTGTAAAATACTTTGAGATGTACCCAGCATGTGAATATTTCTCGCCACAATCTTTGCATCTATTAACTTTCCGCACAGCGAATGCAGAAATCGCACTACTGCATTTTCACTGCTCTTTGTTCTGTCCATTGGTTTCTCCATTTTCACCCATCTGCATGCTCCGTCACTCTTTTCGTCCTGTCCTCCAGCGCTTGCTCTGGGTTCGTGGGATTGTCAAGTGTCATCTCTGTGGGCCGAAGTTTTCCTTTGATTTGAGCGCAGGGCCGCAGAAGCACGTAGGGAGTGTTGTGGTGAGGTCATTAGGGGCCAGGAGTTTGGGGTGGCGGCGGTGTATGGTTTTGTTTGTGTGGGAGCGAGTGAGGTAAGTGATAGGAGCGACTGTAGCCCTGAGACCGAAACAGGACTTTAATTAATGTAATCGCACGGAGCCAACACAACATTATGACACGGCAGGCCTGTTCATTAGCAAGCGAGGTGCAACACACGAAGAAAGTATGTGCCTGTATGTGTTTACGCATGTGTGTTTGGAGCGCCGGGTCCCACTCGTAGTGCTGAGTGATATTTGGCAGGGCGATTTCTTGGCCTGTGGTCAGGCTGAGCGAGGCAAGCGCTCCGTTAGGCGGCAGGCAGCTTAAGCCAAACCACTAATCAACACATTGGACCGCCGCCATCTTACAGACACACTGATGTATTCACAGGCTGATTAAACAGCTCTCAGCACATTGGATTTTTATTACATTCATGAAATGTGTTTACTTTCAGTTAAAACATTACTTAACATCACCATTATGACGGGATGGGAGCTGGCCCCGTTGTTTTTTGGCCCAACGTTTGAATAGCGAGGAGCAGTTAGTTCATAGCGGAGGGACGTAAGAAAAACGTGAAATGTCCCTGTGCGACGCTACTGTTTACAAGTTTATGACAATATCTGCTTCGCACGCATCCCTGCGTTCGCTTGAAAGGGCTTCCTCGATCATATCTCTTCTATTTAAGGACAGAGGACGTTAGACTCTGGACTATCGAGTGACCATTAGATACTTCAGCTGCGCACTTGCAGTATACCGTTTTATTTAACCTTGGCTATAAGATTTACTGGTTTGCAGATTAAACAAGCGTCAAGGAATAGCATCGTGGGACAGTGCTCGCTAATAAAACCAGAGTGTGTGAAAGAGAGAGAAAGGCGAAAAGAGAGAACAGGAGCCAGAGAACGTTTCTGCTCTGTGGTTATTCCTTTTACATGTATGAGAGAGGGAGAGAGAGAGAGAGAGAGGAGGTGAACAAAAAAAGAGTCTGCCAAGAAAGTTTATAATGCTCTAAAACCTGTCAGGCACTCGCTGTTATATATAAAGCCTGTAAATTCGCTGGTTAATGTGCCGATGGTCCCCTCCACACTCCCACACGCTGTTTTTAGCACAGAGCAGGAAATAACGGAAGGAGACAGACGCCCGGGTTAACAGACAGACAGACAGACAGTCTCAGGTTAAACCTCAGCCAGCCTTGACTACTGTCACCTTCTCTGTGCCACACACATACATGCACACACTGGTATGCAGACAAACACTTCCTACATACAGCGCTTCACCCCCGCTGCCATCGCACTACTTTCATCTGCTGCCATTTTTTTTGATATATGACTGTAATTTTACAATTTGGGGAAAAGCAAGTTGTTAGTGAGTTATCCTGAACATGAATTAACATGAAACTGTGGCTCTTACTGAAGAATGTGTTGCATTCATGTGCTGTCAGAGTTGCTTTTTGTATTTGGATCAAAACATGCCTGGATGTAAGGGTTTGGCGGCTCATTTTTGTGGTCAGTAATCAACTGAATAATTAATAAATCACAAACGTGCTAATTGATGAATGATAGAACAGTTGTTACATGAATGTGAAAGTGCAACAAAAAAGAACCTTTTTTAAAATTATAAACTTTATGAATAACATTTTTAAAATGTTTATTGATATTGCCAATGTGATGTTGTGCTTTCTCAAAACAAAATGAGCTATACCTTGTTTTTTTAATCTTTTTTTTTTTTTTACCTTTTAAGCTTCAGATAAGTAAATGTCGTGAGCAACTTTATAAAAGTGAAAAAAGAAGTTGGAGAGGATACAAATCTTAAAGAGCCCATATCATGCACATTTACAGGTTTATGCTAATACTTCTGGGGTCTGCTAGTATATAATCTAATGCTTTAATGTAAAAAAAAAAAACAACACACATTCCTTTTCTTTTATTGCACATTGTTACAGCACCTCTTCGGTTTAGGTTCTGTCTCTTTAAGCCCCGCCTCCAGAAAAGCCCAGCCTGCTCTGATTGGTCAATAAAGCAGCGCTGTTTATGTACCCTAACCCCAGATCTCTGACTCCAGACAAAGAAACATAGATCTAGAAGAAGTAGTGAGAAAATAATGGTGGGCTGTGAGGAAGTTGCTCATTCTTTGTTTATGGCTGGGCCTAATTATCCGCTAGGCAGGCGTTATGCAAATATGTCACATAGTGATGTAGATAGGTAACGGAAGAAAAGCCTGGAATTCAAATCAGGTGTTTCAGGCTGAGAAGCAGCAGTATTTTCTCTAGGAATAAATAATTTCCTCTGGTGTGAGCTTTTGGGAGTTTGCAGACATTTTGTATGCACAAAAAAGGAGCTTTATCGGACTTAAAGGGGGCGATGCAAAAGCATGATATGGGCTCTTTAAGTCAAAATAATTTAGTACATTGTGTTTTGTTTTTTTGATTCTGTTATAGGTAGTCTTTAAAAGTTGGAAGGAGACTGCAGATAAGTACGTTGCTATGAATGACTTTTACAGTCAGCGAAGACAGAAGTTGTACTACAGCTAAGTAGACGATACACATCTTCATCTGAACTGTTATTAATGATGATGGCATTACAGTGTTGAAATTTTAATGGGCTAAACAACAGAAGTAGTTACGTGAGTGGGATACTGACAAGGATATGAAGAAAGAGATGCATCATTTGATTACTGAGCAGCACAAATGGGCCCCCATATGGCTCCTCATTAAAGAGCTTTACAGAGCAGTTTCCACCACCAAATCTGAAGTAAGTGGCTATGAAAACTGTCATATTGTCAGCTGTTTGGACGGGAAAACAACTATTCCATTCAGGGAACATCTGTGGGGCTACGTTTCTTGACCTCCCTTCTAGCACTCTGATGGTACAGTCTCACTTGCCATAGGAGAGTTTGTCTAAATCAGACAGCACATGAATACACACAGCAGCAGCACCAGTGTGGTCTTGTGTCATGCGGCATGCCGGGTGTGTTTTTTTGTTGGGCTGCTTGTCTCTCACAGGCAGGTGCTGCCGACCTACGACAGCCTGGACGAGCCGTCAGTCAAACGCATGAGCACCATCTTCACCTCGGCCCTCCACGTAGTCACCATCTTCTACATCACTGTGAGTGGAGCTTCCATACACGCCGGCCGCCGCTCACGCCTCCGCCTGCTACACCACTGATACCTTGTGATTACAGTGTCTGCTTGTCTTGATCTATTTTTTATTTACTTTGTTCAGATCAATGCTTTAGAAAGTGAATCAATTCAGTTACAGTTTTTAATGTCTCAGTATTTTTCATTTTTCAATTCACGGTCAAATTTGACTTTAATTCTGGCGTGAAAGGAGTTTTTGAAAGCTTCCGTCAGCCGGCGCAGCAGATGTTTTATGCATATGTGTTGCAAAAAAAAAAAAAAGGTTGTCTTCTATATTAATTTTCTCTTCTTCTTTTTGCTTCGGTTCCCTCCGCTTCCCTCTTAACCAGGTGGGTTTCTTTGGCTACGTCAGCTTCACAGACACCATCGCAGGAAATGTGCTGATGAACTTTCCATCCAACCTGGTGACAGAGATGATCCGCGTGGGCTTCATGATGTCTGTGGCCGTCGGATTTCCCATGATGATCCTGCCCTGCCGCCAGGCCATCAACACCATGCTTTTTGAGCAGCAGGTCAGCTCGGATGCTATTCACACACTTCTTGTGTTTCATACGAGGTGTGTTTGCATTTGAAATATATCTTTTGTGACACCAGTCCTAAAAAACTTTTCTGACACACCTTGTATACAGGACAGTTTAAATGTTCCAGAAACATCTTTGTGCTTGTTTATGTGGTTGAATGTCAAATTGAGAATTGTTCTCAATATAGTATTTCTTTATGTGAATCTTTTTAATAGCAGGAGGACAATTTGGATGGAAGTGTGTGAGTGCACTAACCCAGTGGTGTCCCACAGAAATTAGATTCCAGTTCTGTTTTCTTAAATAAGTTATTAAGTAATACTGAATACTTTGTCCCTGGAATAGACTCCAGCCCCCCCATGACCCTAGTGAGGATTAGGAGGTGTATAGATAATGGATGGATGTGTACTTTGTGGCAAATTAATACTGAATACTTGGGAAGGTGGTCTTGTGGGGTGAACCTTGCTGAGACGTAGGTAAAGAGGGTCCTTGATGCGAGGTGTCAACATATTACTGGCTCAAATTTCAGTGTAACAGTCATCCAAATGCTGCGTGCCGTGTTTGTTGCCCCAGAAAAGCAAATCCAGACCCAGTTCATGCCACATTACGATCCCTGCCTCTTCTCATCACTGAAGAGCCGGTCCATTGTTCTGCCTGCCTGCCCAGAACTACTAAACAGAACCTACCGGACATTGCAATGATTCCCAAAGCAAAGGGCTGCTTGAAAACAATGTCATATTCTTGATCAGTTATAATAAATGATCCAGTTTATAGTTTGTGGATGTTTAGTGTTGTCAGACTGAGGAGAAGCATTCTTGACTGGCTTCATTTGAACATTTCTGGATTTCAGTTCATTATGAGACTTGGAAAATTAGTGAGTTTGCCGTCACAGTGGAGGTAATAAATGAGATTACCTCCAGTCCTACATTGTGGTAGTTGTTGACTGAATTCAGCACAACTTTTATACTCCTTTTATGTGCATTCATTTAAACCTTTGCATTTAACACATTAGATAGAGCCTCCTATGCTTTCTGTAATGCAGTTTGATTTTTGGAAACACCTGCTGTGACGTCTTTGGAATTATTATTCAGTCAGATCAGGGCTGCGCTGGACAGTAATATTGTTTTGGCCACGATACATGAAGCTGAAACACTGTGTGGTACGAGCCGTGTGAATCAACACAAAATCAGCTTCTGTTTTAAATAAAAGAAATTGAATCCATTTTTTTCAAATTTGAAATTGGTAACAGTCGGTGCTAGATTTTTTTGTGCCCCCCCCCCCCTCTTTTTGTCATTTCTTTTCTTTCTCACATCTCCGTCTCTGTTTCCGTCTTACAGCAGAAGGATGGGACATTTGCTGCCGGAGGTTACATGCCTCCTCTGCGCTTCAAGATGATCACGCTCTGCATTGTGTTTGGCACCATGCTGGGAGGCATTCTCATCCCCAACGGTACATCCCGTGTGTGTGTGTGTGTGTGTGTGTGTGCGTGTGAACAATCAGGCCTGGATTGAATGGACGACAATTATGTGCATGTGTCTATGTGTGCGCGGCTCGCTGGAGGTCTTTAAGGTGCATGTGTTCCTTTATGTGGGCGGAGTAGCAGTGGAGCTTTACGACGTGTGTGAATGTGACTTTACGAGTCAGTGACTGTCACACTCTAACACAGTCCTTAAATCAGGACCCTAACTTTTATCTCCTTTTAGATGGGCAGACAGGAAGATAGGGCTATTATTCTCTCAGACTCTCTCACACAAACACGCACACACATGTCAGCGTACACACCAATATTGGCTCGCTGTCAGATCCTTTAAGTCGGTCTATCCTCTCACAAACTGCTCCGAAACGGTGGCGATGTAAAGGTTAGCATTAGTTTATGTTTTATTCGTCCTTTTATACGGCGGCTGTTTGTTAAACTTTTGATTGCTTGAACGCAGACACACACCGGCAAGTTTTGGCCGGCGCTTTGTGTATCTAATCAGACTAATAGACTGAGGAGAAGGGAGGTAAGGACCCCGGGGAGAATGGACACTAAATCTGAGGGAAACAATATGGTGTCCGTCCTCTGGATGAACGATGGGTTTCCGGGCCCGACGCCCAGCCGGCCGGTCCACAGAGGGATGGGTGGGGCCAGGGCTCGCTGCTGCCAGGAGCAGCGTGCCATGGATGGAGGCTGCATGGGACTGGGCAGGTGCTGGTGAATGGCAGAGGCAGGTATGAATGTAGCTAGCGATAAGGAGCTTGGATCTGGGGAGGGGTTTTTTTGTTTGTTTTTTTTTTTGTGCAGCAGAAGAGATAGGGAACAGTGCACTCAGAGGGATGCAAACTCCTCACCTCTGGCAATGTTGGTGCCATGTTTTGCACAGTGAGCACAGTTTGCTTGTTCATTTGCATTGTACTGCAGCACTTGGAGAAGCAGAAGCCTGGATCTTTTAACTATTATTCATTGCTTTTATTAATTTCAGCTTTTTCATTACACATTGCTTTCATTTTTTTCTCCAACTGTTTATCTATTAAGTACAAGGGTGATCAAAAAAAATCCCCAAAAATGTTCCTACAAAAATCCAAACACCCTCCTTATCCACACGTTGCCACCCTACTCTTCCCTGTGAAGCGTCACACTGCTCCAAGTGCTCCTGCAACACTCTGTAACATTCCGTGGAAATCACATTAAGCAAGCATGTCATTCACCATTGAAATCTTCTCCGCCGTGTCAAAACGGCGACCCTTCAACTTGAGTTTCATTGTTGAGGATGATAAAAATGTCACAGGGTGCCAAATCCAATGAGTAGGGCAGGTAGGGAGTGATGGTTTTTGTTTGGGCTTAAAATCCCGCGTGCATTCACCATGCTGTTACTGGGCGCACAGTGCAGTCGAAGCGTCTGCATACGATCGCGGTTGAGGTTGTTTGCGCCAAACTGATGCCTTGGGACATTACAGTAGAGCGACGCCTTGACAGACCAATGCTGGGAGACTAATTCCTGGAGCAAGACCCTGTGAATGTTAAAGAAAAGAAAGAGCATACGTTCTTCCTCATGCAGCTTCCTTAGTCTTGGAGACTGTGGGCTTATTTCACTGTGAAAACTCCTGTTTCTTCTCTCTGTGGTGTCACCAGTGATCATCGTCCACATCATTTGCTTTCCAATTTACTTTAAGATCCATGGAGAAATCGCAAATGCACACCTACCAGTGGTCACAAAAACATTTAAAACCTGATGTTGACAGCCGAGTGTCAAGGGTTACTGCTTGCACATGACCATGACATGCTCTGTCCACGTCTATCTTTTTGATCGCACCATGCTTTTCATGTTTTATCCACTTTTAGATTACTATTTCCCCCATTTATCCATCTTTGTTTGGTTATTATTTCAACATTTCTAACCCATAGCCGCTGACAACTGCAGAATCCCCCCTCTGGTGTACAAGCACCTCTGGTTGGAATTATAGCTCTGCATGACCACAGGATAATCCCTGTGTGTTTCTCTTTTCAGTGGAAACCATTCTGGGTCTCACTGGAGCCACCATGGGCAGCCTCATCTGCTTCATATGTCCCGCTCTCATCTACAGAAAGATCCAGAAGAACGGCATCATCGCTCAGGTTACACAGTCTGAATTTGCGCTGTTCTTATGTTTTGTTCAGTGAAAACATGTTTCTAACCTGCTGTGCTTCTCCTCTTTCTGTCCCGTAGCTGGTGCTTTGTGTCGGCCTGGGCATCCTGCTCATCAGCACCTTCACCACCCTTTCTATCTCGGCCAGAAGCCCCAGCACCAGAGTCCTGCCGCCTCCACCTCCTCCTGCACCTGACAAGAACGGCCTGCCGCTACCAGACCTCCCTGAACTGCACGGTAAAGATCATGACTTTCTCTAATGGCTGGCAATCACTTACCCACTTGATGGACTGTAGATGAAAGTGGTTTACTAATGAGCCATGGAAACATTTACCTCAACGGGCCGGAGCCAGGGTTGTCTATAGCGTCTGAGATTGGACAGCGGCGCTGCATGTAATTATTTCACGTAAAAGGCGCCGGCAGAACGAGAGACATGTTTATTTCTTGTTTTATTTTCAAAGTCATGGACTGCTGCAAGCACCCTAAAAGAGTAGCGTAAAGAGAATGTGAACCAGTAGCAAGGGGCCAGCGAGACTAAAACAAAAGCACAAAGCCACAGCAGAAGAAAGGCGCTCTTTTATCTCGCTGAGAAGAAAAGATGGAGACAGACAGAGTGACTGATAGACAGACAGGCAGGGTGAGGAGATAACCTCTTGATAATATCTGAAAGCAGCGCTGAGTGCTTGACATTGATGAAGCGAGATTGATGCCCTTCAAACTCCAGCAATTTCTCTCCACCCCTCTACCTCTGTTCATTTCTCCTGCCACCCCTTCCCCCCAAAATACATTGTCTGCACCCCCCTCTCTTCTCCCCTCGTATCTCATGTGGCAGCTATAAAATGCCTGCAAGCTGTGGTTGTATAAAGAGAAGGGGGTGATATGGGTTTGGGGAGAGACGGAACAAATGGAGATGAGACTCCGTTTGACTTAATGTTTTCAGTTTTAGAGTTTAGAGCGAGTCCTGACAGTGCCTCATCCTCACCTTTCACTGTCTTTCCCTCTTCTTACGCCACATTTTCTCCGTGCTCTAACCAGACATCAGGAAACTCTTTCTTATTAGTAGATTTTTTTTTCTACCATCTTTCCTCCAAAATGAAACTCACATGGGCCAAACTCTACACCTGCTTCCTGTTTGTCAGTTTCAATTTTTATTCTCCGCTTCTCCCCTCGTAAGTCTCCCTCGGTGCCATTTTCGGTATTTGCTGCCACCTAGTGGATCGTACTCATGGAGAAATCAACGGCTGGAAAATAGTCACAGCTGACAGCATGAGCAGAGCATGTAAAATATTCCTGGCTGTTAATTTGTTTTAATACCAGGAGTTAATGTCCTCAATAAACACCACTGTACAAGAAAATAAAGAGTAAATTGCAAGGCTAGAGATAAGTATAATTCAGTACTATAAAGTAACTTCACATTTCCCAGACAAGAGGAAATGCTGAAATACATGAGATGACACATTTATAGTTTCCTAATTTAATTACAGTAATGTGTCTTGTGGTTTTTCAAATTATTGTCTGTCTGTGTAAAAAGCAACAATGCCAAACATGAGTAAAAATATCCGAATGTTAAAACTTGTGAAGAGTTAGCCAGCCGTGCATCACTTAAAATTAATCTGACAGCATCTGAATGTGTCGGCTTCATGTCTGAATGATCACTTTTCTGTAAAAGGCAAACTTAATATAGTGAACCTGATGACAAATCTCCATCAATTTTTGGCACGACACAAGTCTTAGATGCAGGCATTAACAGATATAAACTCACATCTGATGAAAAAGGTGATTTTGGTCGTTACGTTAATGATTAGAAAGATCGTTTCTATATGTAGTTATAGGAACGTATCTGTTTGAGCAGGTGAATACTGTGAAACCAAAGTCTGTTGGGAAACGAAACTTACCTAAAATCAACTTTAGTAAACAGATCAGACCTTTACAATAAATATTATCCTGACAGCTGTGATGGAGCTCAACCTGAAGAGAGCTGCTATGTTACAAACGCTTTAACTGTAGCTTAGAAACTGTGTGTGACAGCTCACCCGTGAAGGGACGAAATGTACACGGTGTCATTTATTAGTCATAGATCCTGAAGCTTGGTATTAGTTTAAGTCTTTAGTTTCTTTGCGGCTCCTTCAACCTTGATGTGCTGATTGACCTCGTGCATCTGGCAAATATCGAGTGGCTCTTTTCAACACTGTCTTGGATATGTTTGGATGAAAACATTAGCGTAGAAGTGACCCACGTCTGAATGACAGAGTGCCGTCAGTTCAACAGATTTATGAAGCCAATAATGATGCGTATTGGAAAAGCTTGAGTTCTTAGGGAACACGGTTTGGCAAAGGGATCTTGGGAATTTGTTGGATAGCAGCAGTCTGTGTTATAATAGGTTACGTTTCGTGTCTCCGAACAGACCCTCCAAACAAGAAGCCAGTGGAAATAGAGAAGCCCAACCATCCACCTGTGGAGGTGCTACAACCTGCAGGGGGGGACCAGGCTGAGCCCCCGCAGATTAAAGGACCAGTTGATGTGCCTGAGAGGAAGAAGGAGGAAGAGGTGCAGCTGGACCGTCCTGATGCCGGTAAGGAAACTGAACCTAAAACAGAAATGTTAACCGTATCTTGAACTGTGTAGAATGAGTGTTCTCTGTTCACCCAGGTGTTGCCGTGCCAGAGGGAGAAGCCCATCGCCATGAGCCACCCATCCCTCATGACGAGGTCAAGGTAGATACAAGAAAGAACAACAAAGAGCTCGAGGAGGACAACAAACCGGCTCCTCCTGCAGGAGGTGTTGAGGAAGAACCTGTACGAGATAAAGAGCAAGGTGGAGAACACGCTCCGAAGGTAGACGACAAAAAGGACGAGAAACCTGCAGAGGTTGTTGTGAGGAAAGAGGATGTGGACTTGGGTGGAGGAGAGGTCTTGTCCAATGAGGTGCTGGAGAAAAAGCAGGAAAAGGAGGTGGAGAAGCCAATTCCTGTTAAAGATCCTCGAATGGGGAATGCAGCTGGGGTGGCCAATCAGGCCGCTGTAGAGCAAGTCAATAAAGTGGACAAAGCTCCAGATTCTGCAGGGAAAGGTGAGTGTTTGAAGCTCTGTCACTGTAGTTTAAGGCAACAGGGTGGAGACGCAGCTGTAGGAAAGGGCAACACTGACCTTGTGACATTTGTTTCAGGTCCTGAAGGAGAACATCGTCGCGCTGCAGACGAGGCTCCAGCTGCAGATAGCAAAGACACAGCAGACGAGAAGATGGAGGGTAAGTCGGGTGGGATGCAAGTCATTTTTAGTCTGATGTCATTCACTTAGCAGCCATCAAATCCTGACCTTAACCCAGGGAAACTTTGGTAGTTGGTGAGAAATATTTTAGAATTAAAATTCCTGCGATGGATTGAATGTTGTGTCATTTAAAATAGCCAGAGTTAAACCTGAAGTTACCTCACAACTTGCTTTGTAGTGCAGGACTCTGATCTCTGGTGGCTTTTTCTAATATTTTGTGGCTCTTTAGGCACATAGATGACCTTTAAATATGCTCAGAACCAATGAAAAGTTCGATTCTGCTCAAAATAAAAGTTCAAAGTTCTTGAAAATGTAGGAATTTACACTCAGAGTAAGAGGAAGGTTGCACAAATGATTAAAAGTGTTCACAGTGTTCCTTTTATAATAACCCCGTCACAGCTTTGCAGTGATGATTGGATGGATGTGTTAAGATTTCTTTTTATGTAATTGGCTAATTCAGGCTGGGTCCTCCTATGTTCTGTTTAGGTCTCTGTCTGTCACCCCACTTTGGTTGTTTTATCTTGCGTAATCTCGTCTCAGTGACCTGTTTTTTGCTTATTCTTCCTTTTTGATGGTGTAAAACAGGAAAGATGTCTTTCTTTTACTTCTTGTCGTGGCCTGATGCTCTCAGCAGTCTTTTTTTGGGGGGAGCTTTTGTTGACTTCTGTTGTTTACTTTTGCCTTCTCTCTCCTTCTCCATCTTTACCCCTTTTTTTTCTTTCTCTCTCTTGCGGACTCCTATCACAGTGATTAAAAAGCTGGTGGCAGGTATGAATTCCCTCTTGCCTCTTCTTCTCTCTTGTCTGTCACTCAAATTTCCCGACATTCACACATTGGGCCTTGTTTGTTTTATTGATAATTGCATTTACAAGCAGTGTGTACTGTATATACTGACTACTAAGTGATTTATTAATAAACAAAGTGCCAGTGTAGAAATCACCCACTCACTTTGCCCCCTAACATAGTTTGTGTGTGTCCACAGCTGCCCATTACTGCCCATTCCAGTCGATGTCCAAAGCTACAATCTAGAGATGTGTGTTTCCATAAATAGTGCAGCATTGTCTACCGCCCTCCTTCCCCCTCTGACTCTCACTTAGAGACTGGCAACACATCAGCCTTACTAAGCTTCCTAACTAATGCACCGTTGTCTGAGCAGCTCCTTACTTATTTTAACTCCTCGTTTTTGTCTCCATGTAGAGGGCCAGCTCGATCACGCGGTGCTACTGCAGGTGATCAAGGAGCAACAAGTGCAGCAGAAGAGACTTCTTGACCAGCAGGCCAAACTACTGGCTGTGATAGAAGAACAACACAAGGAAATCCACCAGAAGCAACCTGCTGGTGCGTATTTACACGTCATTTTTCTCGGACGTGACACTTGACAGCGAGCGCAGATGTTGGCGGTGGTGTACACTTTAATTGAAATCTGTTTTTATCATGTAAAGGGGCTGCTGCTGAAGGCGAGGCAGAGAAGGGCAACCAAGAACACTTGGAGGGGATGGAAGGTGGAGCAGCAAAGCCCAAAGAGTCTGGTAGAGAGGAGGTAGCTGTCGCTCCGCAGGACCAGGATCAGGCTCCAGGTAATAAGCCTGAAGTCAAGGTGGCCAACGTAGCTGTTGCAGCAGCTTACAAGGAGGACGACAATGTTGCACCTGGAGGAGAATCTCACCATCAGGGTGAGCTCGGGGCGAGGGGAGTGCCGCTGGGAAAGAAAAGACCTGAAGACCAGCAGCCCGTACTGAAAAAAGATCAGGTGGCTCAGCTGAAAGACGAGGAAAAAAGCCTTGATAAAGAAAAAGAGGCGATTAAAAATCTTAAGAATGAAAAGATAGAGAGAGAAGTTCAGGCGAGAGTGGAAAAAGCACAGCTTGAGAGGGAACTGAAGGAAAAGCTGGCCAAAGAAAAGGAGGAGAAGGACAGAGCAGAGAGAGAGCAGATCGAGAAAGAAGTGCAAGCGAGGTTAGAAAGAGAACTGGAGAGGGAGAGACAGGAAAAGCTGGCCAAGCAGGAGCTGGAGAAGGAGATAGCTGAGAAGGAGAGAGAATCTCTGCCGAGGGCAGAACAACAGCTACTGGACCAGGAGAGAAGAGAGCAGCTGATCAGAGAACAGCAGCTGATCAGAGAACAGCGGCTGATCAGAGAACAGCAGCTAGAGAAGGAAAGAGCAGCACAGGAGAAGCTTGCACAGGAGAAAGCTGCACAAGAGAAAGTCCAGCAGGAGCTGCACAAAGCAGACAATGAAATACTTGAGAGAGCAATGAAAGAGAAGCAGGAGGAGGAGACTCAGGAGAGGCAGGCCCAGCTGGAGCAAGCCATAGAAGCCAAGAATGCTGTGCAGGGGGGTGAGAGAGAAGATGGTGATGCTTTGAAGAAAGGAGGACGAGACCTCAAAGAGAACGCTGCTGCTGAGGAAGACCCCAGAGAAGGTGGGGAAGACGGGGCTGTCAGAGATGAGGCTCGCCCCCAGGGCTCCCACGAGAAGGTCAGGGACCAGGGAGAGACGGATCTGAGGCGGAGGCGGAGGGCACTGGGACCGAGAGAGGCTGGAGGCCCCCTGGAGGACAAGCGGGCGTCCAGGGGGGTTCCTGGGCTGGAGCCCCTGCTGGAGCTGGGGGGCTCAGACCTGCACGCCGCCCTGGAGCAGCAGCTCCTGGCCGGGGCAATGGTGCACTCAAGGCAGATTAAACAAGCGTCAGAGGACGATGGAGCCAAATAATACACACACACACACATATTATTTAACGGTTGGACGACACACTCTGTACACCTGCAGAACCTTCTAATACTGTGGACCACGATGCTGTTGCCTTACATTCTCTCTTGCCTTCAAAAATGTTATGGATGGGAACGTTTTGTCTTTCTTGATGCTGTGTCCGCTGCCAGTAACCCAAAGTCTATATCAAAGAGCAAAAGTGTATGTAAATATTAACTTATTTTTGTCTTCAGAGGGGAGAATTTCAAAGAGGTCAGTGTTGAAATGTATATACATCTATGCAAATACCGTTCTATGGAGTGTTTGACAGGGCAAATCTTTAATGTCACTTTAATCCCTTTTTTCATTCACCAGCTTGAGTCTGCCTCTTTGTAGAAGCTGTTTGTTTTATTGTCTCCTGTACTGATTTTTTGTTGTTAAAAGTCCTCAGTGTGTGTCTGTTACATTGACATGTAAATATTGTAAATGTGTTTAGCTGTGATCCATGGCTGGGGTTTCTTAGAACCTACGTTTACCACACATTGAATGTAACGTGGGTTCAGACCCATCGATAAGTGTTGTTTCATTATACTTTCAATTGAAGGTAACTGAATCCAGCTTGGAGCTGGAGCTACGAGGTATATAAATGTAGCCTTACTGTGGACACCGAAGCAGCTCGATCCAGACCATCTGGATCCACAACTCTAGTTAATACTCATTCCATCTTCAGAATCTCTTCCTTGTAGATTTATCAGTGCCTTCCAATCTATATGCTGCAGTACTGCTGTTTTCAAACAAAATGTGTGTAGTTTTTCCTCAATTTGTGGTCTTTTCCCTCCACTAAACCTCTCTTACTGTAAACAGTACAGTAATAATGATAAAATATGATTGTGATGAGGACGGTGGAGGGAAATCTGGGCTGTGTTTGTAGTGTCTTCTAGGAATGTGTCTTCTGAAAATTCCTTCATCGGTTAGCACTTCAACACTTAGGACCTTTGCTTTGTACAAGAGGCTATTTTTCTGACTATTTTTCTATGTGCATGGTATTTCTGTACATTTTGCTGATAAGAATAAAATAAACAGATCTATACAACAACCACAAATGTCGGTCTGTGTTCAAACAATGTAAACAGATAAAATCATCAATATTTTATTCTCTATATTACATAATTGAGTCAGTGTTGCAATATTACAGAATGTGACAGTACTTCATGGCTTATTTCAACAACATGCAGTAAAAAATAAATACATATTTCCAGCCAATCAGGTTGGAAACTGAGGTCTGCTCCCACAGGTCAAAACTGTTCAAGTTGGTCGTCTGAATGTGCTGCTCCTACAAAGTCTGAGCAGTTCACTTGGCTCTCTTCTTGGCCTGTAATTAAGACAATAAGGGAATCAATCACCACTGTGTTCAGAAAAAACACTACCAGGAACACTGCTTTGGGACTTACTGCATTCGCAAAGCAGGTCTTCAGTGCTTCAAACTCTCTGGCACACAGGTCCTTCTTCAGCTCCTCTCTGCCTTTCGTGGACGCTGCGACACACTTTCCGTACACTGCTGCCTGAATCACACGTGTTTGGCATTAGATGAAGGAAATAAGGCCAGTAGTGTGGATAGTGTGACCAGCACACAGACACCGTTAGTGACAAGTGACTGTAAAAAGGCCACCTTAAAATGCAGCTTTGCTTAAATGACACAATGCCACAGATGATAAGAGAAAGACAAGAATGGGTTGTTTCTGGATGCCTGCATGTCAGTTAGGGCCACAGACAGGCACTTGAATGTCCTCAGCTCCTCCATTTGCTGTCCAAGAAATAGTTTCACACAGCTCTGGATGCCAGACAATGTGAGCTTGTCCCTCAAAATGTCCGCCTGCTTCACCAAACTGACCTGACTTAGGATTTTGTGGTTTATGACCCACTTTGAATCTGCCTGTTGTTTTGAATACAGTCCGTACTTGGTTGTTTAATGATATCTATTCTGCTGTAGAGATGCAAAGTGATGGAACAACAAATACTTAAATACTTAATTTAATAAAAATGCTGTGTTTGTATTTGTTTTCAGCATACTTGATGTGTAAGGATTCAAGATTTAACATTTTTATAACAAATTTTAGATAAATTCATTTCATCATTCCATCACTTCTCTCAATTTGTAGTCACTGCATAGTGGTGTCCAACCAATCAACACTGAAGGACAAATGCCGAAAAAAATCACTATTGATCAAACATATGTAACACATAAATAAACAAAGATGAAGTTTTGTGTTTTTACAGCAATTTCATATCAATTCCAAACATTGGTTATTGGTATCTTACATCACTAGAAATTGGTATCGACTCTGAAAAAATCCATTACAGTCAACCCAAATAAAGGAGTATGTGGATACAGCATATTTGTGTATGTCAGTGTAATATTTTCTTATTCTAGTGCTGAACTACTGTTCATTCTTCTGAATATGCTTATTTCTTTTTACAGTTTATGGTTTGTTTCATTATTTAAAGCTGTAATTTATTGTACAACTCCACAGTATGTTAAGTAATGACAGCAAAACTCAACTAAACCCAAGTCCATATATATTAGTAAACACAGAATCATTTTTTCTAAACATACAAATAGTGGTTTATAGTCAAAACATTGGACCAATGGGTTTAAATAAATCTATTTATGTCTCTATATTTGCCTGATAATTTCATAACTGGCATGTTTTTGTAACCTGTACTATGTAATATAGAGTGATGACAGATAATGATAATGATAGAAACCTAAATGGACGGACTTTTAAGAAGAAGAGAACCGTTTCTGAGTTCAGAACATTTCCCACCAACCCTCCCCAGTCTCAGCTTACCTCGTCCGAACACTGCGCTAGAAGTTCGGGGAAGCGTCTCAATCTCTCCCGGCTACGACTCCACACATTGGACCCGGACATGGTGCTGCTCCGGCACTAACAGCAATACTTTGATTTTTTTTTTTAGGTCAACAATAAAGAAGAACTGATAATTCCAAAGCTGCTTCACAGTTTGCGAAACACATTTAATTGAAAGTTACATATCAACCGGCAGACGAGGTACCCGTGAAGACCACGGACGGCGCCATATTGTTGACCCTGTCGACAATTCAACGTCCGGCAGAATATTTGGAAATACGATTCGGTCGTCGGCCTGTCAATCAAAGGGGTGGCTGCCGCTATCCAGAAGCTGATTCGCTGTTTTCCGACCTCTAGGGGAAACAGAGCACCAATCGTCTGAAGGCTTGCTGCTTGATGCTCTGTGATTGGCTAGCTGTCACCTCGAGCCCCGCCTTCAACTCGTAGCCCCAGGAGGAAGATGAGTAACCCGCAGCTAGGATTGCTAAATCATGGCAACATTCATGGAACGGTTAGCTTTTCTCCAGAAAGTAAGTCACATTTACAGTCCTTACTTCTTGACAGAAGTATGAGCAGGTAAACGAAGCATGTGGAATACGAGGTAGCGCTGACGTGTCCATTTAAAGCGGTTAAGCTGTGCGAAACCATAGCTTGCTGTTAGCCTGCTAGCTAACAGCATGATCTAACATATTTGGTGATGGCTTGTTATGTTTTGCTGGACATGTCAGGTTGTTTCATTAGAGGTTAAACTCAGCAGACAGTCACTGGTCACTGGTGTAGCCCTCAGCTTGCGGTAAACTAAACTGGCACACCCTGGTGCCATGCCAAGTTTTGTATTCGTGTCAGAGTCTGTGTCACTGCTAATTAAGCTGAGAAATGGTTTGTGGTCAGTGCAGTTGCTGTGGGAAATAAGATGTGGCACTAATCTTGCAATCTAGACTTTTGTTGATCATCTGTCCTACCTATTTAAGGTGCCCACCCTGATGAAGGCTACGGCAGATGATGAAAACCCTTGTCCTGGCTACCTGTTCCAAGAGATTGGAAGTATCCTTTAGCAGCTTAAGTTGTGGTTGAACAAACAGTCCTGCACATGCTGGCCTCTGTCACCACTGAAGGCTGTACGAATAATAACACATCACTAACAACAACAACAACAATACTACTACTACTACTAATAAAAATAATAATAATAATAATTGTTTTGTTTATATTGTACTTTCTAAATCCATATTTTAAGGTGTTGCACAAAGTAGACATGTAAACTAGAGGGATCAAAACAAGCAGGCAAATATGTAAAAGAACAAAACAGACCAACATAGTAGACAGTAGATAGTAGGGCTGCAACAAACAACTATTTCCATTGTTAATTAACCTGTTCATTATTTCCTCAATTGATCTATTCGTTAGTTTGGTCTATGAAATATCAGAAAATGGTGAAAAATGTCAACCAGTGCTTCCCAAAGCCCCAAATGACAAATGTCTCTTTAGTCCACAGCCCAAAGACACTTAGTTTACTGTCATAAAGGAGTAAAGAAACCGGACAATATTCCAATTTAAGAAGTTGGAAGCACAGAATTTAGACATCAAAAGTCTTGATGTTGCCACTCTGAGATCATCTGGGAGGAAATTTCATAAGACAAGGGCACGAACAGCAGAGGCCTGATCACCTTTGTTCAGAAAGTGAGATTCAGAAACAGAACGTTCCTGCTAGATCAGGCTTATGAGGGGTTTAAAGACCACACATGTAATTGTTGCCATGATGTAAGGAATTCCAAAAAGCAATATTATCTTAAGATCAATACTGAAACTAACTTGTAACCAGTAAAGGGAACTGGAGTAATGTGGTCACTTCTGCAGGAATGAGTTAAAAGCAGAGCAGCAGCATTTTAGAATATTTGAAACCTATGAATGTTTCTCTTACTGATACCGAAGGAATAGGAAAGTGCAGTACAGTAATCGAGTCTGGAGGGGATGCATGAATGACCTCTAAGTCTGAAAAAGAAAGAAATCTTAAAGTTAAAGTTTAGCCTAAACTGAACGAAAACGTATCCAGAGTGGACATGAGCATCTGCATGCTGTAGTGCAATACTGCTATAAAGAATGCAGGAAGTGTATTATGCAATATATTGTATGCAAGTAGATTAATATTAGCTTTTAACTGTAAAAAAGAGGGAAATGTTTTGTCCATTTTAAAAGATTCATAATGATAAATACTGGAAATATACTGTGGTTAAATTGAGGTTCAAACTGCTAAATAATATGTCACATAATGCAGCTAAGTCACGTAAGAATTGTAGAACTTTAAAGTGGAGGATTGCAGTTCAACAGAAGTCTTTAACTCTTAAAAATCCTGAACTAACACAATACAAATGATCAGTTTGTAATCCAGCATTTGATTTTGAATCCTAATGTAGACAAAACCTGCAAAAATAAAAAATAAAAAATGGAGCAGATGTATTAATGTCCCCAAAATGTTTATTACATTATCATGTCATCACAGTCTGTTGAGTGGTGTTTAATATGTGATGAAGCATTTTACCCTTAACCGTCATCACACTGTAGAAATCTCTCATGAGTCTTCAGGTTGTGGTCAGTGTTTGTTGGAATACCTGCTGGAGAGGCTACAAGTAGAGTCCTGTCATGTCAAACTCAAGGTGAGAGCACTTCTCAGCGTCCATAACATGGAGAGTTGCTTTAAGCTTTTTCCCGTTTTTCCTCTCTATGAATGACTTGTGTTGTTGCTTCTGCTGTGTCAGGTGCTCAAGATCTTTGTCCATCTCTGTGGTCATGGCTCAAACTATTTCCTCACAGAACTCAGAAGAAACTCCACCTTTATCCAGCAAGCGTCCGGTAAGACATCAGTGACTTGTGATTTTTAGCTTTGTTTCACAGTCATCACTCTGTGGCTGCTCTGTTACATGAATATTCATGTTTGTGCAGTTTACAGCGGCCCTCCTGATCCCATCCACGGCACGGCGCTGTACCAGAAAGTTAGGAACACAGCACAGGTAAAACATAGGTTGTAAATCATCATCTAAATATTACAAAGTCAATTACACATCTGTGGCCGGTACTGTATAAATAAATATATTTTACTTTTTATTTACAGGAGGTGGCCCGGTTACTTTTTACAGATGCAGTTTCCACCAGAAGTGGCATCTCTCCGTTCAGCCTCGCTCCCCCAACAATGGGTGAGTAAAGAACATCTCGTGACACTTGACACTGTCCTACAGGATTATGCAGCAATTATTAGCCAGTATTTAATCTGGCTATTTTAATTTGAATGTTTTATTATGTTATTTGTCCCATCTGGACTGTTTAAAAGAGACTGACACATAGCAGCTAATGCTTTCTTTATGACAAATAATACAAATGATCTGGGGAAGGTGTGTTTGTGTTTAAATGTTAAGCTTCATTAAATATGCAGGAGAGCGGGTGTCTGTTATCAGTCAAACAAAACACTTGACCTCACCTCAAAAATAATTTTGTTGCCTTGACAATCTTTTCAATTGATTCTGCGTGTGAAGAGTCATCTCACACCCACAGTGCTCTTTGAGAAAAATGAGTCAGCATCAGCCAAAAACACACAAAAAAGTCACCTGTTGTTGAAAAGGTAACCTAAAATAGAATAAGTGGAATCTTTAAAAATTATGTTTTTTACTTGTAAAATAAGAAATTAAATATGAGGCTTAATACATTTGTGTATTTTAATAAGTTCAAACCAAATCAAACCTTTTGGACCCTTGTTGGATCCCCTAATGTGTGTTCTCTGTGTGAAAGCACCGTATATCAAATGTATTTACATAACTGATTTTAATTCAGGGGCAGAGGTCTGGAACAACTGCATTTAATCAGCTCACTTATAACAAAAGACATTCTAGTTCAAGACAGTCGAGATAGTCTGCGTGGATTCTGTTTACTGTTCACCTGCAATCAGCGTGACCCCCGGAACAAACACCACATCTCTCCTGATTCCACAAACATGAACCTGAGCTCATTTATTTATGACTCAAACATATTCTTCCATTTGCAGAAGGTGAAGAAATTGAGTCCGAGACACTTTCTGTGTCTGTGATTTAGGAGATAAAAGTAAATTCTCTGGTGTAACATTAATGTGTGACCTCTACAGTCAACGAAAGGAAAATAAGCCACAATTAAAACCACAGTTATTTGGAGACAGGCTTGCTGTAAAAAGCTCCTGCTACAATTTATTGATCATTACAAAATGGATTTCAAAATAGTGAATTTTTTGTTTCTTACAGAATTTGTTTTGCACAAACAATTAGTTTTGGTGAATTTTTAAATACGGCATGCATATTGATATTATTTTGTTGAATATAAGACACGATTTTAAGCCTAGTTTGGGTTAAGTTTTAATGTCATGCCAAAGATGAGTAGTTCAAGGACCATCAAATAATTGAAAATCCAACCATTTTTTTCTATTTTTACAGTTTCTGGCTCTGATAAATGGTGTAACTTCTTTAAAAAAAAAAATAGCATGCCTTTAAAAATGTATTTCAAAATGGTTAATGGTACACTTTGTAACATATTGCATTCATATCACGAGATACGACCTAATACCAGATTGACTTACAGTTCGGTCTGGACCTTGAAAAGCACCGCTATACATCATCATAGACCTGACCTCAGGTACCATATAATGAGCAAATATGAGACGAGCTTTTAGTCTTTTTTAGTCAGTTACATAAGACTCTCAGTCATTGTATTTCACGGCGAGTACAATAGATCCTCTGTGTCCTTCTGCTCAGGTATGGGATCGGCATCTTCCCACAGGTCAGGAATGCAGGGTTTTGGATACAGTCCAGGGAAGCAGGCGACAGGTGAGCGATGCACACTTCACCGTACGCACAAATCAAATCGTTCCGTGTGTAAATGTCTGTTTCTCCCTTATCTCTGTACCTGTTCCCTTCCAGTAGGCAGTGACTCAATACTGGATAAGATCCAGAAAGCCGCCGAGGTAGTGGCCAGTGCCGTCCTCCCGCCGACTGAGCACCAGGGCATCCGTCTCCATGACAACCATTACCGGGCCGTGGTGGCGCCTTCTGCACCGATAGAGGTGGCCGTCCCAGCGTGCGCCTATAACCTGCCTGCTTGTGGACCAAAAGGTCAGACATGAATGAAAGATTCTAAATAGAAACATTTTCTTTGTGTCACAAATGAGCTGTTTGCAAATGTTGAGGCACCCTAAGGGTAAAATACATACGCTGGCAACTTCAAGAATAAAAAAATACAACCCCTGCAGCAAACTGATTTTCATAATATAAGCCTTTCTTCAAATGGCGTCTCAGACTTACCATGTGTCTTCACCACCAGCAGTGACCAAGCGGTGTCCAGGGCAGGTGGGAGGCGGCTGGGAGGAGACGGACAGCGGCAACAGCTCCTCTCACAACTCCTCTCAGGACATCGCTGCCAACAGCAGGGCCTCGGTGGGCAGCAAGTCAGCTGGAACGGGGAGCCAGTCGGGGGCCAGCAGAGAGAGCAGCGGGGACCTATCGGAGCGGTCAGTGGCAAAGTTGGCCTGGTAATCCAGCAATTTTCAGCCCAGTGTAGTGGCACGTGAGAGCTGCTAGATTCCTCTCTGAAAGTACCTTTTTGTACTTTACATATTTCAGAGGACATTATTTCCAGGTTGGCTAGCGGAGATTAACCCTCTGAAATCCATGCAGTTACTGGGCATGTTTTGCTTCCCACACATTTTAAATCACTCTGGGCTCATCTTTCACTGCAGTGTAAAGTCCTGCACCTGTATGGAAACAACAGCCGTAAGCAGAGAGAACTCAAACATGTATTTTGGGCTGTGTAATACTATAAATCCTGAAAAACAAGAACACATTTGAGTTAAGTTTTTGGGGATTTATTTTATACAAATTGATCAAATCTGGAATCAACAGGATTTTTTTCAGGGGCCCACAGATGTTACCAATATTGGAAAAAGACAGATGTGATGCTACATAACACAAATATTTTACTACTCCCATTTTTAATTAGCTTCCATGCTTTTTTCCTCTCTACTCTGTGTACACACGCAGCCTGCAGTTCAGCCCAGTTTAGCCAAAAGTCAATGATTTTTTTTAGCATGTTGATGTGAATCCCTCATCACTGCATGGTTGTGTCAGGCAAGTCTTTGTTTTTTGCCCGGGGCGCATGGTGTATTTTTGACTTAAGTTTTTAAATGAGACTTGTAGAATAAAATCCTTTTTGTTGAAATATCACAGTTTCAGGCCTGTGTTTGGTTCATTTTTAATGGTACGTCACAGATGAGCAGCTTAAGGACCTACAAAAAGTTGAAAATCCAAAGACTGTGTCTGTTTTTACAATTTTTGACTCTGATAAATGAAGTAATTTTTCTTTGTTTACATTTTTTTTTTAATTTATTAATTAAAAAAAGAGATGAAACAACTTATCTTTCAAACCTGCCAGTGGGTTTTAGGATTCAGGGGGTTAAACTTTAAATGCCTTTTTAGCACTGATGTCCCTTTTCTTGTATGATTAATAGAATATTTTTGAGCTACGTACGCATAAGATTCTCACTTTCTCAGCCTTCATTGTCATTTCCCTCTCATATGCTGTGTGCTCTGCAGGGTGGAAGCCCTGCAGTTGGGGGACTGTGGTCAGGAGATGGCACTCATCAACAGACTGACTGAAGGCTCCAGAGTTTTCCTGTCCAGAGAGGAGAGCCAACTCTTTATCAAGGAGTCAGTGTATCTAAAATCACACTAAGAAAACAGCAACATGGGCTGATTCTTCTTTTAGGAACTGGTTGGAATTCGTGGCTGATTTCTGTCTTGCTTCATCCGTCAGGTGCTTTATTCTCAACTGTGAGGTCGTGGTGGAGTTACTCTCAAGCAAGCTTCAAGATCCTTCATATACTATTAAGATGGTAGCAATGATTCACTGATTTAATTAAAGTTTGATTTCTGATGTCTTACGTTTTCCCTGATAGAGTTGTGTTTCTGTATTCCTGCAGCGGGCGCTGTGTGCTGTCGCTTGCCTCATGACCTCTGACCTTCTCTCTTTGGAACAAATGTTTGGAGCTACACAACGCAGACTTCGCCAGCTGAGTGAAGGGCCTCCAGGACCCGTGGCAAACAAGGCCACCAAGGTAAGAGAGGCAGAAATGGGAAGCTACACACTGTGAAGACTGATAAGACAGAACTGGAAAATACTAAAAGTGAGGGTGCTTTTTTTTTTTTTTTTTGTGCTTATCTCCTCTTACCAGATCTTGCGACAGTTTGAGGCTCTGATGGGCGGACCTCCACCTCCTACCAGGCAGGATGCAGCGAGCAGTAACCATCAGGCGACCATTAATCACACATCTACATACCCCGACAGTTTACTACCGACGCACTCGGCTGAAAACCTTCAACTTTATCGGCCCGACAGCTCACCCGCAGATGTCACCCCGACACCAAATCGTCCATCTTCCCCTTCTAGTGTGGACCCGGCTCAGAGCAGCTCCACGGGGGAGCTGACGGATAATGAGGAGCGAGAATTAGTGGAAAATCAGGTGCAGCCAGTCAGGACTGCTGAGGTGAAAGTGGCTGCTGAAGATCCACTGCTCATCAGAGACAAAAGCCCCCCTCCTGCCCAGAGCGAGCCGCCCCATTGGGGCACACTGTCGCTGTTCAGTGGTATGGAGCTGGTGACCAAAGGGAGGCCGCTGCTTGAAAGACAAACATCCCAAACAGAGTCGGACAAAGTAGACGACATCTTAAGGGAGAACCAAACTGACTGTTCGGTGAACTCATCTACAACTTGCGTAGAACCCACCGAGGACGCTCCCTCAAATTGCAATTCCGTTGCATCTAATAGCAGTCAGACAGTATCAGCTTTCTCATTTCTCAACTTTTGACCGCTGACCAACTTTTTTTAGAGCTGCAAACTTTAAACCAATGATGTCATTATGTTTATCCTTCGAGAAATCTATTTAACAAAGAAAGATCGGACCTGTTAAGTCGTCACTATATGTAGAAAGCAGATTTAGATTCTGTTTGGTTTTTCGGTTATCTGTGTGCCTCCTCAGAAGCTGGTTTTAAGCAGCCAAATGGGTAAAGAGAGATTTAGGACTCCTTAATGTCGTCCTTTTAAACTGCAAACGAAAGCAATCCGCAATCCCCAAAACTGTCATTTCAGTGGCTATGTTGTTAGTTGGCTGAGGTTTAATTTCTCAACAGTGTTTCATGAGTATAGTTGTCATGAATTAGAGGTTATTATTCTGTTTTACAAAGTCAGAGAACAGTAACTACGGAAGCAGCGAGAAAAAGGATTTGAAGGCTTTTATCCCAAACTGTACTCATCGTGGTGTAAAACCTCAACTTTAAGCTCCTTAAGGCTGATTATTAATCGCCACTGACTTTTCACAAAGCCTAAAAAAGAATTTAATACAATTATTAATTTAAAGAATTCAAGCAAAACATGGTGTCGTTAAGAAGTTTTTATAAGAATCAAGTGAATTTGACTGTAGTCAGAGGCGGCTAGTTTGTCTCTCTGTTCTTCTTATTTGCAAACCAATTTACTAAAATGTTGTGGAGCCAGTAGTGGAATGTAACTAAGTACATTTACTCAAGTACTGTACTTAGGTACAAACTAGAGATACTTGTACTTGACTTGAGTCTTTTAAAGACGCTTTCTACTTCTCCTTCACTGCATTTCAGAGTGAAGTGTTCAACTTTATACTTCACTACATTTGTGTTTTAATTAGTAATAGAGCTTTCATTACTTTGCAGTAACTTAACATATGAAGAGATGTTTTGTTATTTAAATGTCCAACAGGTTGTACAAGTACAGCTGAATTGAAACCATTAGTCATTCAGTGGACGAGTTCATTTCATAAACCAACGATCAATCGATTGATTAAGAAAATAATTAGCAGCATTAATCCCTGATGAAAGTAATCATTAGTTTCAGTCCTGTACAGAGTAGTTCAAAATGAGCTCGACTGTAAATTTCTGCTTCTACATTCATACATAAGTAATGATGATTTCACTATATAATGTATAGTAACAGTTACAGGGGATTTTACCTTAAAAAGTTACTCTTATTTTTAATATACTGAGCCCATTTTTGGGACAGTTCTTAGACAGTTTTGCCCATTTAACACTCCTTTTAATCACAACAATCACACACTGCAACGACAAAATAATGTTTGTACTGACAAGTAAAATGTTGAGAAGTCTGACTCGGTTTCGATCAAACTCGTAGTTACTGTGTCTCGGCTTTGTATCGCAGCACTGAAGGTTGCTTTATCTCAGGATTTCTTTTAAGTAACAACTTACACCTCTGCAGCACGTCCTGAACCTCCGAGGGAGAGCCCCTCGATTTGTAATTTTGCACTACAGTTGCTTTTCTTACGAAGTCAAACCTAAAATGAGAGTTGTCTTCCATTATTTTTGGTACTAAGCTATTATGTCAACGTCAATGTTATGAGTCTTAGTTTACAAGTTATTTATTATGTCTAACCTGTATCGACTGAAACGTGCCCATGAGAGTGGTTGTAGAGTGCATGAATAAAAAAAACTGATGTGGGGTTGGAACGAATGCAGGAGTTAATTACTGAGATGTTCTGTGTGCATAATTAATGTATGGAATTGTGTGTGATAAAACATCAGCAGTAAAAAAATACTGCAAATATCTGCAACTTAATGAGCGGTTTCTGGTGTCATCAAAGGAAATTGCCTTCACTTTTCACCAGTTACATGCTGCACTGCAGTGTTGACGACTGAACAAAATACAAACTACACACCCAAATGGTGATCCACCCTGCTGGTATTATAATGAACACTAATGATGTATTTTGTTTCAGTGAACACAAGCCATGCTGTTCGACACGCTGAAAAACAATAAAACATGCTGTATTTTTGTTACAGCACTAACTACTACAAAAGTCTTCATTCTCTGTATGTACATGTGACAAAAACCACTTTCAGCAACACTTTATTTCAATGTCAAATGATTCGGAAAGTTACATAACATATGAATCACTTTCACATCTCGTTTTATTTGCAACACAGTGTACTGGTCGTATTAAACCATCCATAAACGAGTATGGCTGACAGGCTTATGACACACAGATACACAATGTGTAAAACGTTACAGAAGTAAACACCCGGTTCTAAACTAGTTTCGAGAACCTTTTGGAGGGCTTGTTTTGGGTTAGAAGCACTGTGCTGAGCTGCCTGAGCTGCAGTCTCCAGTGCCTGCTCACGTCTCTATAATTAACCAGGGTCTAATCTAAGGTTGGATTTTGGTGGTGAGGCTCATGGAGAATCTGCTCCATTACTGTGAACCCGCTGAACCTACCACAACTACAATTTTAAGATTCATTTCGACAGTGAAAACAACTGCAGAGAGCAGGGTATGCTAACTTATGACTTTGGCTAGAGAAAGCAAATAAGGCCTAAAATATTCTAGAACTGGATTGTTTTAATAATGCTCCTTAGGAGTGAATCCGTTGGCCTCCGACTACTTACTTTTTGAATGGGATCACTACAACTCCCTCCTCATGGATACAAACACGCGACTGACTTCCCCAGTCGAGAGTAAACAGAAGGAATTATTGAGTAAAGTGCTTAGCTTTATTTAGTTTTGCAAGCACTTTGGATCATCATCATCACACTTTTCTTGTGATTAGCACCAATGAAAATGTCCACGCATCAACGCACGCATGTAAAGAGAGTGATACCTCTTTATAAAGTGCACAGGGTGCGTGCACACACACACACACAAACACACACACATCAATACTGCACAGAAAACCACAGTGGCTGGGCCATGGAAAGGCGGATGTGCTTATGGTCTTGACAAATGGTACATGTTAGGTGGGGATGAGCCGTTGTGCCCAAAATCTGTAAACCTCCCCACACATCATCCCCTTACCCCTGACCCGAGTGTGTCGCTTGAGGCTTTCAAGGAGGAGCCATCGTGCCAGTAGCAACGGCACCGATGGGTGAGGGACCAGAAGGTCAGGAGAGGGGTCAGGGGTCACGGTCATGTCGAGCCTGGACGCCCTCTGGTCTGCAGACTGCTGAAGTGCGCCTCCCGCAGGACTCTGTTGATGTAGTCGTAAGAGACACTTCTCCCGTCGCCATGGAAACCATGCTGCAAGGAGCTGGCAGAGTCTTCAGGCTTTGGGCTGAGGGTGTGCTGGGTGATGCAGTTGTTCTGGCTGTGTATGCATGGCCTGGCCGTGGCCACTATTGCTCTCTCTGGACTACTGATCCCATTACTGCTGTCGCTGCTGGAAGACTGCAAATACAGAACAGAGATCAGGTCTGAAGAGCAGCTTCATGGATGGATGCAAAAGCTGTAAATAAAATATTCTGAGCTTTTACTGACAGTGGTGCACTGCATATGTAATGCAGAGTCCCATGTGTTTATATACACGATGCAGAGCTGCTTGCTCTATCTGAGAAATGCCAGTGGCCTTTACATTATCAGCTCAAAGACACAGTATGTTAAATTAGATTAATTTATGTAGCACATTTAAAACAGCCTGAGCTAGTCAAAGTGTTGACGATCTTATCAGTCAAGCAGCAACAAAGATAGGTACAAAGAAGCTTCACCGGATCAATACTTTCAATCAGTTTGTAAAACCAAAGAAAATTGAAAAAAAAACTTAAACAGGGCAAAACATCATCGCAGCTTTTAAGATCAATTTCTAAAATACAACAAATATAAAATACTAAAATGTTCCGACCATCCAACAGCAACTAAAAGCCATTAAACACACGTGCATCTTGAACATTTTCTTAAAAACGTTAATGGAAGAAGGAAACAGGAAGGCTGTTTAAAGTTTTGGAGCGGCGACTGCAAAGGCAGGATCTCGTCTTACCCACCAGCCTCGATCACAGAGCAGTTAAAAGCAGCTGTTGTGAGGATCTAAGAGGCCTGGAGGTACAGTAGGGCCACAGAAGTTCTGAAATATACCCAGTTTTCAACCCATGCAGGGTTTTATGAACAAATGGAATAGCCTTAAGAGCAATTCTGTATTTAACAGCTAGCCAGTACAGGTGTGATGCCTTGAGGAAATAATGCAGTCTTTATGTATTCAGACAGAAAATGGATCTCTATTTAGCAATGTCCTTCAGTTGAAAGTAGCATCCTGTTACCACGGAGTTATTCTGTTTTTAAAATGTCAGAGCTGCGTCAAAGATGACGCCAAGATTCCTGGCATGAACATGTAGGCTTGCTGTCAAAAGCCCTCAGTGGCTGCTGGTGGAAAACACAACCAGAGCAGAGAGAGACTTATCTTCTCATAACGAGATCAGATGAAAACAGAGGCGAACCCATGTCTGTGTAAAGGGGTCAAAGATCAATTCAGTCTCACCTCTGAGTCCAAATCGGACACTAGCAGGCTGGGGCCTCCTCCTGACCTCTTGGCCTGAGGTCTCAGCTGTTGGTCTTCCTCACTGTCACAGCTATGGTGCCGTTTCCTGAGCAAATGAGAAATATCAAAAATGGAAGGAACCGAGAGGGTGTGTGTGTGTGTGACACAAATGATGCAGGGCGGAGGGGAAGGGGGGTGGGAGAGAGAGATTGGGCGGAGAGAGGCTGAGTATCAGAAAGAGAACATGAAGAGGAACCAAAAATAGTAACAGACACACTCAGGCAGTTACATGATCGGGCATGTGGCACTCCCATTAGACAACACACTGATGAACATATCCTCATTGGGGTCTTTGTAGAAATATTGATACTGCATTGCTCGAGTGAAACATACATGAGTTTGTCTTTTTTTTTATCCCTGCAGTATGTGATTTATCCACAACGTTGCATTAAAGTGACACAACTGATCATCGCAATGCTGTATGTAAAGATGATCCTGTTTTAATAAGACTGTGAAAATGGTTCTCTCCGTTACCTGTTGTCAGTCAGCATTTCTGCAGCCTTGACGAATGTCTTTTTTTTTGGCAAAGAGGAAAGGTTGACTCTCCTTGTCAGCTGGGTTGAGATGTCTTATATTAAAGCTTTGGCAGTGTTACGGCTCCACGACCATTTCGCAGAAGCTCAGTATTTCAAGCTCTCCCTCATCTCACCGGGAAGTCCAGGGTGTGTGGGTGAGCCTATATCCAGCCGGCTGAAGAACAAGTCGCCGCAGGAAAGCACAAACCCTCCGCTGTGGGTTACTTCAGACCTGTCACCGCTCCAAGTGCAGTCCGCCCTGTCTCGGCGGGGGTACAAACTGCCGCTGGACGTGTGAAAGCTAACGAGCTAACTGCTAGGTGTTCTCGTTTACGCAGTGAAATCTCGAGGAGCTCCAGGCATGACAGCAAAGAGGAGGGAGCGAGCTAGCCTGCTAGCTGCTAACGCTCTAACTGCTACTTGTCAAGCTAACTACTTTAGCTGCTGCACTATGCTAAACGAAAGTTCTTCCGCTTTCGTATTCGTCCACTTGCGCCGTTAATCGTCGCGAACTGTTGCCTTTCCTTTACAGCAGTCAGTTACGATGAACTAGATGTGTAAATTAGAGATACACCAGACTTCTCGGTAGCCTGAAGTAAGTTAACAGAGACTCGGGAGCCGCTGGGTGTACCGCAGCAGCGAGCTAGTCTTTGCTAAAGTTGGCTAAAGTGAATAGCTCCGCCCCTCTGTTTACATGACGTCAGCGGAAACGGCTTCCTGTGTCAACATCATGGTGAACTGCTCTCTGCTGCCTGATGGTATTTTCAAATCTATTTTGCACACGAATTTCACCATTATAACTCTTTTTAAAAGACCTGGTTTTGATGAGGTTCGGGGGGAGGTGTCTCTATTGTCAAACGAAAGTGCTTCAACTTGTTAGCTGACTACATTTTTGTCATTTCAAAAGGTAGCTAGTAAGCCTTAGGTAACTTCAAATAGCATGAAGCTAGCATTTCATTTAATCACATTTATGTAATGTGTCGGTGGTGTGTCAAAGCAGGTTTTTACAGTCTGTATCCAATATATGCATGTCTGTGCAGTGCTCTTTTGCCAACATGACATGATTTTCATACTCGTATGTGAATTTATACTCCAGGTTTTCACTTTTAGATATTTTCTTGTAGTATTAGCACAATAATGCTATATAATAGACATACAGTGCAGCTACCTCTGCTGTTTTGTCTGCACTGTGAAATAAGTTTTAATGTGAGAAACTGTGATCACAGCAATCCCACTCTCTTTCTATGCTTAGTCCATTTTCTACATTAACATCACAGTGAGTGCAAGCTGCTTAGACCAGTGTGCCTTGGAGTTAGGCTTATTTATCATAATTTACATAGTTGTAATCATATGTAAGGCGAGCCTTGAAACACAGTAGCTAGTTTTAGCCACCAATTGGAGCGATATTGGTATATTTTATGGGTTATTAGTGCTATTTTTTTCTTTAATAAGTTTGTTTAATAGTATTTTTAGTGACCAAACCTTTAGAATAGAATAGGAGAAGAGATGCAGATGCTGGTGAGGAGAAAACATTCACCTGAAACACAATACCCCAGATACAGTTGTCCTCAAATGTATTCATACCCTTCCATAAAAGAAAAGGCAAAATTCACAATAGTCATTCAAATAGCTAGAAACCGAAAAAAGTAACAATAAATAAAAATTTGCCAAATTATAATTTAGTGAAAAAAGACATTGCTTTTGAATTGTGGGTAAAAAGAATAATTAAAAAAAAAAAAAAAAAAAAAAACTGTCCTGGTCAAATTAGATCACTTTGCTGATGAGCAGTGGCCAAAATCAAAATACCTGTCAACAGGTGCAGAAGTCTGATTGGTAGTTACAGAAGACACTTGATTGCAGTGATTGGCTCAAAGGGTTGTTCAACTAAATATTAGTTTACGGGTCCCATCATGCTTGTTTGCTTGGGGCTTTTTTTGTTGTTTTTTTAATACTTCTGTTGAACCACAATTCAAAAGCAATGTCATGATGTTCATTCAATTTTTATTTAGTATTACTTTTGTCAAATTCAACTTATTTCAGTTTTTTTCCCCTTCTTTAATGGGAGGGTATGAATACATTTGAGGATGACTGTACATACCTAATTCTGCTGTCTGGGTTAATGACTTTAAAAAAAACAAAGCCAAAAAACCCTGAAAACTTTGTCCATGTTTAGACCTAACCATAACTCGTCTGGCAGTAGATAAATCTACCTCAACCTCCTCCTCCTCCTCACCCGTGCCCCATAATGCTTTTCTCTTCTACAAAAAGCTTCTTACATTTACAGCCGTCAAGTCTGGCCTTAAAAAGTTTACCTTGATTTCTTCAGTAACCACGTTAATTCAGTCTATCTTTCCTGCAGATGAAGGTGATCCAGCACACTGCAGAGACACTCCACACAGCCTTGGTGTCTAACTCTCATGATTTAGCTCAAGTTTACAGCAAGTACACACAAGCAGAAAGGCGTCTTCTGGAGGAAGGATTCCGCTCCGGGCAGCCGGGTTCCCTTTTCCCGCCCATCACTGTGCACTCTGACTCAGACTGGATCGCCGCTCATCCTGAGGAACCTCAAGATTTTGAGAGCTTCTACAGAGACCCCTATCGGAGGACCCCTGATGCACATCACAATACTATTTACATTCAAACAATAGGTGAGTATGCTTGGGTCTACTGTGCCTTGATTGTCTTGTTTCTGTCATTTTAGTGGAGTGTGTGTGTGTTGGTTTGTGAAAATGTCCTAAGAGTGTACATTAGGTTTCAAATGATGGTTATTTGTGTTGAACATAGGTAAGGACATGAGCATATTTGTGATTTCTGTCTGTTCAAGTAAAAAAGCATAATCCTCAAGCACATGAAATAAACCTTACTTCAATGAGCAAGACATGCAAAAAACTACATTCTAACTCTGCTGTGGGTTTTACAGATGACTGAGACACATCCACTGTGTTATATAACAGTTTATCCAAGTGCAGCACGTCTCATGGTTGCTTTGCCTTATTGTTCACTGTGTTTGCTCTAGGTTCGTTTGGAGAGGTGGGGGCCCTGACAGACCAGTATGTGGAGTGGCTCAGAGATTACTGCCAGGCCTTCTTCTACGGGCTCTCCGTCAAGTTGCTGCCAGCAGTCCCTGTGTCTGAAACGGGATGCTCTTTCAGGGTTAACAGTAACTCACACAACCTTCAGATCCGCACCGGTAACTCAGGCAGTTTTAAAAAAATATATATATATATGTATCTAAGTCTTGCCTTCATTGTGTTATTCTCACTCTGGTTTAGGATGCTTTTAATCTAGCTAATCTATTTAACGGTAAAAATGCAGCAAGCTAAATCAGGACGGGAGGGATCTGTGTTGTAATTCTTCTTTTCATTTGAAATTTAGGTGACCTTCTGCGATTTCTGGCAAACAAGAAACCAAAAGATGCTTTTTGTATTGTTGGAATCACCATGATTGACCTTTACCCTGAAGACTCCTGGAACTTTGTTTTCGGACAGGCTTCGCTCAGTATGGGTGAGGTCTTGTTCAAAAATATATAAAATAATACAATAGAAAAACAGCTTTGCTCCATGAGTTATGAGGACGAGGATCAGTAAAAATATCTTCATCAGTCATACACACTAATGTGTCTGAGTCGCCACTAGATGGTGCTAAAGTGAAACACATGTCCTTTCTTTTTTCTACAGGTATGGGTGTTTTCAGCTTTGCCAGATACGATGACAACTTCTACAGCAGAAGTTATGCTGGGAGGCTGAAGAAACGGCTTCAGCCAAGGCAGGGAGACTACTCTGTGTTTGAGGGATATTACACTCCACCCATCACCAGCACTTTGCTGCTTCGATCCTGCAAGGTTATTAAGAAACTTCTCCACCCACTCAGGTTTGGTACTACGAACCTTTGAGTGTTTTTTCAGGTCATTTGTTCATCACCGTTTATCAGTACTGCTGATTAACCCTCTGAACCCTGAACAGTTTTTTGTTCACTGTGGGCTAATTTGTCACTACAATATAAAGTCCTATACTTTGATGAAACAGCACAAGAATGGCTAAAAATAAAGAGGAATCAAAAACAGATTATGTACAGTATAACAAAGTTATAGTGCCATACATCATAAAAGAAAAAACAAAAGTCAAATTCTTTGATTATATATTTTACAAAAAAAAAAAAAAAAAAACAACTTTAAGTAACATGTACAACATTTTTTGAAGTGGCCACATGTGTTTTAACCCTCCTATTATCTTTGGGTCAATTTAACTCGATGTTTAACATCTCTAAATAAGTCATTGACATCATTTTTCAGTTCTGTTTAAAGGGCTATTTACACATAAACTTGGGTAACAATTTTAATGATGAAATTTTCTGAAGATCTAATTTTTAAGATTGCTTGGGTCAAATTGAACCCGAGGATAAAATATATCAGTAAATTTGAAGGTAATAGGGGGTTAATTTGTCTCCATAGTTGTGTCCTGTCTGCTCTGTGTAAACAAAACCTGCAGTTCAACTCAGTTCAACTGAATTCTCTGACTGTTGGTCGCCACTGAGTCAAAAATTGACTTGTTAGTTGCACAGAGGAGCACTGATTTTAAAAAAACAAACAAATGTTTACAGGGTCTGGTTACTAGAAACTATTTTTAAAAACACGACCTGTAGAATAAAGTCTTTGTGGTGAGATATCTCTGACAGAACAGCTCGTCACGTGTTTAGTTCTAGCGCTGTACAAAAAGGTGAAATTCGTTATGTTTTTTTACACTGATTAAAGATTTCAAACCCACAGATGAGTTTTGAGGTTCAGAGATTTGAAGCACTCATTACTGCTGAATAAAACATGTCACGTCCAGCCTTTTTGTTAGTGTGTTGTAATGCCAAATATTTCTTTCTAGACCATGACCCACGAGATTGGCCATATGTTTGGAATAAGACATTGCCAGTGGTTGAACTGCATCATGCAGGGCTCCAACCACCTCGAGGAGTCTGATCGCAGGCCCTTGGATTTCTGTCCCATCTGCCTTCACAAAATACACGTCTCAGTGGGCTTCAAAATAGCTCAAAGATACAAGGTAATAAAACCGTACCCACTGGTAAGGAAAAGCGTTTGTTATTTTAGAGTGTTTCCACTTTTCTGTTAACTTCTAATTAAGACAGACTAACAAGCATCACCTGATTTTCGTTTCTAAATTAGATTCCATAGCAGACTCAGGGAAACCGTTCCAAAATAGTAGAAGATCATTAGAGACTCACTAATGTAGCTCTGGGTCACGAGTTCACGCCAAGTATCACATGTCAAAGTAATCCTGATTATTTCAGCCCGCTTTCTAGTAACATCTATGCGCTGTTCTGAGAATGTTCCCAGTAGAACTTAATCTCAGTGAAGTAGGTTGTTGTCACAAACTCCATTCAAACATCAACAATGTAAGAATTATCTACACTAATTGGAATTACATTACATCGAGTCTTAAGAACTGGAGCAGTTTTTTACAGGAATTCCTCCCGTGTTCATTTTTGTAGTTCACCTACTCAGTCAGGTGTTAGGTTTGTTTTGTACGTTTTTAATACGTCGTGTTTGTGTTCAACAGGCCTTACTGCAGTGGATGGAGGAGGGTCAGAGTGGAACATCGGGACCAGTGAAGGCCTCTGCCTCTCATCCTGCGACACACTTTCCCAAACCCACCCAAGCCTTTCACACATCCAAACTGTGGCTCCGCAGGTGTTTGGACATACTGGAAAAAGAAGAACTGTAGCGCCTGCCAAGGAATCTGTATAAGGTATATGAAGGGGAGGCACAATTACATGACGCTCTAATGTTTCTGTTGATTTTCGAAGCAGAATCTTGTCTTAAAATGATCTCTAGGCTTACTCTGTGTTGTGTTTGAGGGGTATTGGCTATGACATATCTTTGAAACAGTTATATATTGATCAGTATTGATTGAAACATGGGGACATGATGGTGACACATGCTGCGGGAGCCTTTGTTTCCACAATACATTAAAAAATGGTTCTAGTTCAGATTTTCTCAGCTATAAATTTGCACAATATATAATGTTGAAGGGTCTTAACCTTAACATTTATCCTGGTCAGGTAAATTGTCTTGTTTTTTTTCTATTGGAAAGCACTTTGGCTCAACACCTGTTATTTTAAATATTAAAATAACAGTAACATGCACTTTGTACATAAAATGTGAAATGTTTTCACCTCAGGTCTGCTGGGCTGGGACACTTTAAGAATGTATTTATATTAGGTGAGTAACTCATCTATGAGCTTTCTGTTGGTATTTCTGGTCGTGACGATTTGACAAATACGTGAGCAATAAATGGATACAAACATAAGCGGTTACACATAATTCAGAGGTTGTTGCTTTACTGTGATTCAACACATTTTCATTACAAAAATAGTCTGACATCCCATATTACATAACAGTGCATTGTCAACTTGCTAACAGCTTGATTAAAAATGAACACTTTAAATCACGTAGTCCTGAGCTTTGTGTGTTTCCTACAACGAGTGTTACAGAGTCTGGTGCAGCTTAGTGTTCTTGCAGCTACTTGGCGTCACAGTTTTTCTGGTCTATCGTTATAATAGTGATCACCGGCAGGTAATTAACAAGCGGCAGTGTTACGTCTCTTTGGAATATCTACGGTACCATCAATTCTGCTTCATTTTGAACAGGTCCAAGCCTTCCAGTCGCATCTCAGACCGGTGAACATTACAGCAAGACTATATAATACGCTGACTTACTTCCTTAAAGATGAATTAAAGGTAGTTTAATTTTAATCTTAGTGTTGCTGACTTGATGTAAAAACACTGTTTGGTGCATTAGGTAATTAAGGCACAATTGCTACATACAGATTGTGATCTAAAAGTTCTCAAGATGGCTCTCAGAAACCAGAGCTACAATGGCAGATATTAAGCACTTAGTGTTTCTCTCCACTGTCACTCCAGCAGTCTGCCTGCAGTAGCCTTCACCTTTTTACCCCTTACATGGCTTTACCTTTCTATTATCCTTATTCTAGATCACCTCAAGCAAAACGTCTGACGTCGTCGACATCTCTTGTAGCCTCCCCCTGATTGTTGTCAAAGTTGGCATCAGATTCGCTGCAGTCATTTGGACCGCTTGTTCTTTTGTCCGGTTTCTGCTCTTCACTCCGTTCCTGAGACGCCGCTGTCCTTTCATGTACGTCTTCAGAGTATTTTGAGCTTCTCCTCCTACAGAGCAGTCCTTTCTTAGCAGGTCTTACCAAACCCAAGAACAGGGCGCTCACTGCCATGCCGGCCGCACAGGAGTAGAAGGCCGATCCGTAGTTCTGAGTCACGTCCACCAGCACTCCTGGAGAGAGACAAAAGAAGGTATGTGAATAGAGTTGTACGATGTCTTCTGTGGCTCGGCAGGGCCTGAGAAAGTCACAATATAATTAGTGACGTCATCAAGGTTGTCTTCTAAGCTTGGGCGTGAATAGCACAACTTTTAGTAACAGCATCCAGCCCATCCAGCAAGCCATTTTAGCATTTGTGACCTGAGTCTGACCAACCAGAATCAACATCACAGGCATCAACAGTGTCATTTTACACTGCAGCTAGTCGGAATTTTTACTCAAAATATCTCTAACGTCTTTCAGACTCGTCAAAACGGCAGTTAGAAATATTGATAATTCGGTTTTGACTATTTCAGACAAATAATTGCAGACGTCTCAAACATAATTAAGACTCGTCACAGTCAGCGAATTGTGACGCATCGCTGTGGTGGGTAAGACTGGACTTATCAACAGGGGGTTTACGCAGAACAGGAACTTCATTCATTAGAGACTTGTGGTTGAAATTTACAGCGTCATGCAAATGTTGTGTCTCCAGACAGACTTGAGGACTGATGACAATGTCTGGATGGGCTCAGAACATTGAACTCCTGATCTCTAATAGTTTTAGCTAAAAATACAGAGTCTGGTTGCTGTTTGCAAAGCAAACTGCTCCCTCCTCTGTCTCCCACTTGCAGTAGCTTCTGACTTAACTGGATATATCTGCAACATCTTTTCACTAAATCAAAACTTTAATTTAAAATAGAATTTCCACTGGGAAGAATTCCAGTACAAGATATCTACAATGCCATTCTGACTGGTTTAAAGCTAATATAATATAAAAGTAAAGGACAATGTATATAAGTTGAATTGAGAGAAATTAAAGATAAGACGAGAGGTAAAAGGGGCATTTTTGGGCTGTAATGACATTACAATATGACATTATGGATATCTAAAATGTTCCATTTGGCTAAGAGAATTTACCGACGACTATCTTCAATTCATACCTGTTGAATGTATAAATGGCAGACCATAAGCCCAAACTACAAACAGAAGGGTGTTAGTTTGCAAGACATGGTGTTTACTAGGGAGCAAGGGTCCTAAATTTAACAATTTCTTAATCTGTCTCTTGCAAACTTTATAGAAGTTTAGTTCAAAGACAAAGAAAACAGTTCTACCATTATCACAAGTCATAAATGTAAAATTCTAGATCATGATTTCAGTACAGGAATCATATACGAGTCATCTGTTAGCATTTCTTACTCTGTCTGTTGTTGATATCTCATCACCTATCACATATTCTCATTTACCCACTGTCTTAAAATATTTGAATTGTTACTGCATTTAATCAATTAAATTTCCAAATTTATGTATAAAAAAATAATTTCCATTTCTAATGTAGCCAAAATTAGATTTCAGTAACCACAAAGTAAAGCATCAAGCTGTGGAAAAGTTCAATCTTAGGCATTATTTCACGTAAATGTGACATTAAAACATTCCTCTCACCTCCAAGCGGTGGTCCAGCCAGCCCAGCAAAGCTCTGGATAAACACATAGACGCCAGCAGCTGAAGACATCCTCTCTATGCCCACCACATCATCCTCGGCCAGCATGGGGATGTGGGTGCATGCCAGTGTTCCCATCAGGAAGCCGTACACAGCGCAGCACACAGCCAGGCCATAGAACTCTGTAACCAAAGTAAATCCCACCAGGTCCATAGTCATTGCAATCACACATGCCAGAAGCACGAGAAGCTTCTTGGTCCTGACCTGCTTCCTCGTCAGGATCCATCCGATGGCGAATCGACCCAAGATTTCAGCCACAGCCATGGTGGAGAGCATGTAGGCGGCGCGATCCCGTTCAACACCTCGACTCACGCTCAGCTCAATGACGTATAGTTGAGGGGCGAAGAAGCCCAGAGTGGCAAACAGTCCGAACAGAGAGTACAAAATGAAGCTGCACTCTTTGAGGATGGAAAAATCCAAGAGTTTAGGCTTCTTTGCAGGTAGCTTTTCATTGACCGATTTGATTTCTTCATTATTCATCACTTGTTTATCTGCATCTCTGTCCGTTTTGTCCTCTGCTTCAGATTCTTTAACCTCCACCTCAATGTGTTCCACAGGTTTCTGTTCCAGCTCTAACCTCGCTTCTTTGCGCAGTAGCGTATTCTCCTCTGGGCTGCTGCTGTCGGTGTCCTTCAGAGACTGAACACCAGAGTCTCCAGTGCTCACAGAGGCTCTGGTTAGCTCATTGTCCGTCGTCACAGAGTCCTCTGGGTTCGTGCCCTCTGCATTCTCTCCTGTACTGAGGGCTTCGAGTTCTTTTGGGGACGATGTGTCAATCTCTGTCATCCTGCTCCCTCTGGGTTTGATAATGATGGGACGAAGCAGCGCTCCACAGATGATGATGATGCTTTGCAGAGCTCCTATCACTGCCATGGTATGTCGCCAGCCGATGCGGTCCCTTAATGCAGAAAAGGCTAAGAGACAAGAGAAGGTACACAGTATAAGTGATCAATAAAACTGCAAAAGTAGCAGTAAGTATGTATTGTTCAAGATCTGGCTTGTATATAGGCTGCTGTGAAAGTAGGCATGAAGGAAAACAGCAAACATGATCTTGTTGTCAACAAATACCATCAACAAAAAACCCTAAAAGAAGCAGTTTCTCTTGGTTGCTTTGTGTGGCTCTTAGTCATTGACGTCACTTATGGGTTTGGTGACTACTGTTTTGAAGACTCGAGTTTGGAATTTGGCCCCAAAGACGCTACGTACGCTCATAAGGTAGCAACCTGCCAATAAGAAGGCAGTCCCACCTGAAAATATACCCTGCTTTGTTATCTATTTTACTCTAAATGGGAGCATATTTTACTAAATGGACATCATACTGTATTGAAGGAGATGTGAAACTATCAACTGAAACCATGAACTGATCAGGAAAACCTTTACTGAGGTAACAAATGAGGTGAGAAGGAAGTAGTTTTCTAATAGACTTCTATACAGTCGAACTTCCTTTTTGCAACCTGATGAATCGCCCCCTGCTGGTCATTAGAAAGAATACAGCTTTAAGACACTTCAAATTCTAAATAGCGATTTTAAAGCAGCTATACTAGAAAGAGACAGCAGGAAACTGTTCTGATACTACACAAACAAGAGCAGAAAGTGTATTTATTGGTAATCAGAGAGTATTTATGGCAGCAGGATGGTGTTTGTGACTGAAAATAATCTGAAGTGCCCACGTTCATGTCAAGGAAAATCCTGTCATCAGTGCAATGCTGTGACTCACTGATACATTATTTTAAATTGCTATCTTCTTTTTTTTTTTTTTTTAAATAGGTTATTAATGACTGATGAATAAATCATAGCAAAAACACTGTCAACATGTCAGAGATCATCTCCCCAAAATTTCAAAAATCATGTTTTCAGGGAAGCTTGTGTCCTATCATCCTTCCTGTGAGAATACTTGTCCGTAGGATCAGTTCACTGTTTACGTTTTTTTCTTGGCAATTGCTGGCAGTAAGAAAATTACAGAAAATTCCTGGATTCATCCTTTAAAATTGCTCCAGCTTCTTCCAATGAAACATTTTCCTCATGCATTCTATTAGTATTTGTTTCCAGTCACTAAATATTTCGACAAACTACACAACAAACCGCATACATTGTGGTTCGTCAGTGGGTGCTCTCGCTCTCACCTGGTGCCAGCGCAAACATCGACAAGGACTCTCCAGTAGACGCCACAGCTGTAACCAGTGATCGTCTGCGGTTGAAGTACTGGGAAAGGATGGTCACAGTGGGCAGAAAGGTCAGACAGTAGCCCAGGCCTGCACAGGTGAAAAGACAAGCATGTATTTTACCTACAGATGCTGCTAAAGAACAAATTCAAAGATTAATAGCACTTAAATGAGGGGGGGAAAGTAACAAAAGTGATACCTGCAATTATTCCATATGTGATGTACATTTCGTTAATGGAGCTGGTGAAGCTGGTGGCGATGGTGCCCGAGGAGATGAGGAACCCTCCAGTCATGACAACAACTTGGAAGCCACAGCGGTTAGTCATCACAGAGGAGAGAGGAGCTGAGGATAAACAAACTGTTGTTCAGCATCGACGATGGTACAACAATGCTCCCAACTTCATTGTCCTTTCAAGTTCCAGTGTAAACTTGCAGGGTTGCTAACTACAGCAGCTGAACGTACCATTGAAGGTCATGACAAACACACAGATGGAAACGACCCAGGAGACCCGACTGTTGGTCTCTCCAAACTCCTCCATCAGGTCCTGGAGGAAGATACCAAAGCTTTTGATGGTGCCATAGGTGAAGGCTTCCACCAAGAAAAAGGCCACAGCGATCATCCATCCCCAGCCGCCGTCAGGAGCCTCCGAGTACACGTTGGGCCCCAAGAACCTTAACCCCTTGCCTCCACATGGCGCCATGGCCTGTAAAGAGAAACAGCAGTGTTAATGACTGTTTTAAATATAAAATAAGAAATCAAATGTGCATACTTTGACTTGATCACTGACTTGAGGAAAAGCGTAAAATATTCTGGCAAGGACAATGAAATCCTGCAAACACCATCAAGCATCAGCGGGTGAACGCGCCTCCGTCCTGTGTAGCCCGTTGGACACGCGTCAACTTTATGTTTTTACAGCTGCAAAATGCCCGAGTCACTCGACGACAAAACAGCTGCTCCTCGTCTCATCACACGCTAGATTAAAGGTGGCAAACCTGTGAGCTGACCTGATGACCGCCGGCTCACAGAAGGGCAGCAGGTACGGAGCTGATTTGATCCTCCTCTCTCTTTAGCTGCTTGCTTTTATAATAAAGTGGTTCTTACTGGTTAACGCGTAAACAAAGATGGTAAGGAGGAGAATACTGCCAGCAGTAGTTACAGTTCAGCCTCTCTGAGCATAAGGGTGGGCCTCATCAACTATTAATGCCGTTGGGGGAGAGTCGGGTAAAATTAGATTGTCTAGCATTTTGTGCTTCAGTGAAGTAGATTTACAACATATGAGGTGGACTTTAAGCCCAATTCTGGATAAAATGAGCATTAGGGTTGCAAAATTTTATTTAACATTTATCTCTGTCAGCCCTTGTGTTGTAGAGTATTCAACACGTAGTATAACACAAATTCACGATCCCTTTGGCGACTACAGTTTTTCCTCTTCAGCAAACTTTTTTCCCCTTCTAATTTAGATAGATAATGGATGGATGGATGGATGGATGGATGGATGGATGGATGGACTTCAAGAATGATGCATAACCACCAACTCACAGCAATGTTATAGTCTATGATCCAGAATGAATGTGTACATCACAGTACCTTTAACACCATCTAGATGACATTAATAATATATCTTTGACCTAGTTTGTGTTTTATACTGTTTGGGACAATAAACTATCATTTCTACATCCTTCTGAATACATGGTTTCTTCAGGGTTTCCAACGTGGCTCAGTCTAACTATGTTTAGTTTCATAACCTGTTCTACTTTTGTTTGACCTCGTGATGATTCTATGAACTTAGAAATCCGTTGTGTAATTTACCCCCCAGTTTTTGACAAATTTCCCAATAGGAGGTTGCTTTCATAGGCAGCACTGGTATGCTAAGCAGGTGTAAACACTCCCTTTTCAAACAGCTGACTTCACATATCACATACCATGTGCTGGAGAAAAATAAACACTTCCTGCTATTCTGTACACCTGCTGTAACGTTTAAATTAACACACTCACTCAGTCTGGTACTTGGTCATTGTTTGGCACTTTATTCTGTAAATTAAGTGAACACGAACGTCATCATGCACAAACATAAACAGAATTGCCTCGAATAAATGTCCACACACAGGCAGTAATCAGTGTACCAACACATTTTGACTGATACATTTGCCTGTTCAGCACATTTAAATTTTAGAATAGTATAATTAACACAAGAGCTGGCAGAGTGAAACTAAAGTAAATCTAAGCTTGTGTACTTAACAACAAAAACTTTTAAGGGTTGTTCATCAAGACTAAAAAAGTGACCCTGGGTGTCAAGAAAGGTGCGTACAAATATATATTTTTAAAATGACGATGATTATTATCAAAAACAAATGTAATCGTTATTATAAGGCATTACAATTGGGCAACATTTTCAAAAATTCCCAATTGAAATTTAAAATTAAGACTATTGCAATATCAGTCAATATATCTGAAGTCAGGTTTTTTTTTTTGTTTATTTGTCTGTTTTTCATGTTATTCAGCCCTTACTGACAAATAGTACAGGTTGGATTTAGGGTCCTTTTTTAAAAAGGGTGTCTCCAATGTTGCCACGTGTTGTTTGTTTGTTTTGTTTTTAATTACATTTCAATGAATTAAAATAACAAGTATTTTACTTGTGTGTATCCGACAACACAAACACTTAGAATAATTTTGACCAAGACCAAAAACATTTCATGATAGGGTTTCTCAATGTCCTTCAGCTGAATGGCCTAACAGACACACTGACCCATCGCCCTGATGAGGCTGGTTGTAGAAGCGGCTGTGTTAACTGCACACACACACACACACATAAACACACAGTTATTTACTACGCTGAGTTAGTTTGCCCTGTTAAACAGAATTAACAATATAATCTCCTTGGTTTAAAGCAGTTGTCTGTGTGTGTGAATAAACCAGTGGGAGGGGTTTACTCATGTTGACTAGAAGCAGCCTTCATGCTCCGGACGTCCTCGTGCGGCCGACACAACACACTACAGCGGCGGCTCGTGCTGTCTGCGGGCGACATTTACCACGCGCCTCGTCACTAACTTCACCGGTCTGCTGTCTGAGCCTCACATTTACCTCCAGACCTCCCCAGCAGAGTAGTTCCACTGCAGGTAACTCACTCGGACGTCACTAAACCTCTCATTACCGCGGGTTGGTGTCTCACCTGTGAGGAGGAGCGACTTTCTCACGGTAAACGTTCTCTCCGTCGCTCGAGCCGCTGCTAGATTCCTGCGAGTGTCGCGCGCTGCTTCCGTCAATGAGCCGCTAAACTTTGTGAAGTAAACATGCACATTTTGTCCCGCAGACACGCTATGAGACACACACACACGTAAACACACAGTCACACACACACACTGCCACGCTGTGTGTCATACAGCTCACATTCATAAAGACACACGAGGTGGAGGGAGGAGGAGGAGGGGGGGTTAAATGGATCTGGTTGCAGCCAGTTCTTTCACGAAGTCTCTGTACAACCCCCCCATTGCACACACACACACACACACACACACACACACACTTAGCCTCCTATAACTCCGGGTGTAGAGCTGTTCATGATTGGTTGCAAGTAATTCCGCCACTTCATTACATGCAGTCGTCCTCTAATGTATTCATATTAAATTCATAG